GGTTGGAAAACTTGGTGTTTGACCTCATTTGGGAAGAGCCCAAGCCCAGGTTCTTATGTTGGAGTTGGGCCCAGGTTGGTTTCCAAATTTAAAAAGTTTTATATTTTCAGATCCTAAATCAGGTCAACATTTTCGTTTTAGAAAACAAAATCTTTTGGAACTTGGGCATCTTTAATATGTAAATATGAATATTTTTAGATATAAATATTAAAATAAAAATTTTCAAATTTTCGGTCTCGTATTTTTGAAAACCAGTAAATATAATATCAATATGATGGAAAGTGGCACTGAACATAACGGAATGGTCAAACAGGACTCATGCAGCCTCACTTCATATGGTTGGGACAAGGCTTAGATGAGGATGGCAATGCAGTATTAACATATTATATGATTTTTCTTAATATTTATTTGTTTTTTTCTAAAATTTAAAATGTACATTTTTTTTGAGTAACTTAGGCTCAGTTTAGAAAAAGTACAAATAAAAATATATACAGTGTAAATACATAAAAAATATAAGGTTTTGCACTCTATATATTTGTATTTGTACTCCTTCCAAACTAAGCATTAGGTTGCTGTGTTTGGAAATGATGCAAATGGAGTGTAATTCTGGTTCAGGGTAAATTTGCATTCTGGTTCACTTTTGCCTGTGTTTGGTAACATTACATTTATGCATTGACAAATGACAGATCAATGCATATTTACATTGATAATAAAATGTAAAAGTACATCAATAAAAAAGAAGTAAATTTGCATTCAAGTGAGTCTTTGATAAAAAAAGCATATGCTTTATTAAAATTGATATTTGCATCCATTACAACTAAAAGTCTGTTTGGTAAGAAATTAAATATGTCAGTGCAAAACTAACCCAACTTTGCAATTTATATAAACCGTTTTATACTCTATATATTTGCATTCACACTTATTTTCATCATTTCCAAACGCAGCCTTAAAAACAAAAGTACATTTACTCAATAATTTTTTTCACAACACAAAAAAAAAACTTTGTTTTCTATCAAATTAATGTTAAATCATGTTTTACCACTGCATATTCCTCTCTCTCTCTCATTTGAATGGGCCCAGTCAGAAGACTTGAGGAATAGTATAACTTGGGACAACCAGAGATGCAGCCCTACTCATTGATGCAATTATTTGGTTGCCCATGCTAAACTTTTTCTGGTTTTGCTTATAATGATGGGCCAGATATTATATACCATGTCAGCTCCATGTATATGTGGGTCTCACTTGTCAAACTGAGTTGGTGTATCATGATTGGTCCAATATACTAATTTCAATAGGGACTTATGAGAGAAAAAGGCTCATGGTGAATGAAAAATGGGGCTCTAGCACCTATGATCATGGATTTGAGGGCCCATTCATTATGGGTCAGGTTTTTCTTTTTAGTGTTTTACTAAGGGGAACTGATTAAAGCACATCCCACAGTTGATAAAAACCATACATCCCTAATGCTCCCCTTCTCCCTTTCCATTGTATATGTAATGATAAAATTAAATAAGGGTATTTGTTTGTCCAAATTCAAATTGGAATCCAATCCAATCAAGAATCCGAATTTGACCTTTATAATATGATTGAACATTGATTATAAAGGTTTATATCTGCAAAAAAAAAATTATATATATAGTTGGTTTGAATTTTGTATGTTTACTAAAAAGTCAAAAATCAATCACAGAAAGAAGTTATTTTCAATCCATCTTAGTCATGATATATAATATCAGTCATTTTTAGTTAGTTAAATTTATTGATGATATATTAACACTTTGTTCATTTTTAGTTTAATTCATTAATGAAAGATAGGTTCCGAATCTGAATATTAACAAATCAAATTTGAATTCAAGTATATCTGATTCAATCAATTTTGTTCACAGTGCTACTTAAGAATCCAAGGAAGGTGACTCCTATGGTTACAAGCAAGAGGGGTCAATCTATATAGGTTTACCAACTTGGAAATGATAGTTTTGAGCCTTTTTAAGAATTCACTAAGAGTGGTTGTTTTTAAGCGTTTATTGGAATAAAAATTTATTTAAGGCCAGTTCAACTATATATGTATGCATGCATGTATGTATGTATGTATGTATGCATGTATGTATGTATGTATGTATGTATTTATGTATGTATGTATGTATGTATGTATGTATGTATGTATGTATGTATGTATGTATGTATGTATGTATGTATGTATG